TATATTATCAACCTGATAGCCAAGTATAATTTTAAAAGGTGCCTGAAAAAGTGATCGGCAGCATCCCACAGTTAAAAGGAAAACAAGATCTTTTTCCAGCTCCTGCCCCACTCCCTGGCAGGGAATCATAGTTAGTTATTGGGATATCCTTAAGATAAAAAGAAATGCACACACACACACACACACACACACACACCGTCTTTTTTTCACTCATTAATGCACCATCTAGCCTGTCTGGCACTTAGCTTTTTGCCACATCCTATATCCTAGAGATCACTCCATGGCAGTATCCAGAAATCATTCCCCTTCCTTTTCCCAGATGTGCAGGGGTCCACTGTATGGATGTACCACGGTCTCTTCCAGCAACCCTCCATCCATGGAGATCTGGGTGGGCGCTGGTCCTTAACCTGTTATGGACAGTGCAGGGAGGAAGACCTTTGCATGTGCACTCTACATCTATTCCCGTTTCTCGTGAAAATGATCAGAGATGGCTGTGAAGCCAGAGATGCTCCTCAGACATAACCAACCATCTTCCGAAGCCGGGTTTCCAGGTTTGGAAGCTTAAGAGCACAGTCTCACAGGGCAACTGGGTCAACTGGTGTAACGTGCTTCACAAAGCTCATGTTCTGCATCCCGGTGAAGTGAGTACTGGGGTCTTTAAGACTTGTGAACAGCCATTTAAGGTACATCTATTGGTCTGTACTCACCAGGGCAAAACATTCAGAAGATAACCAAAACCTCCGTCTTCATAGCTGAGAGCTACGTGAGCAGTGGCCTCATCTACCCTGAGACGGGAACTAGATAGTGCCTGGCTGCCACCCCCGGCTCCTTCTGACTGAGGTCACAGAGAAGGTCCTGGATGGAATGTGGGGGGAAATGTAGAACAAAGCTCATTCTTAAAGACAGCCAAACTGAAACTAACTAGATCAATTGAGGGCTCCCAGAGACTCTTACTCTGAGACACGTTTTAAGCCCTGGACTAAGACTATGCCCTTGAGATCACATTTTAGCAAAATAGCAGAATTGCACACACACAAAAACCGTCTATACTTGAGTATAAGCCGACCCGAATATCAGCAAAGACACCTAATTTTACCACAAAAACCATATTTAAAATGTGCTGGGAAACTGCTTATACACGAGCATATACGGTATGTTACTCATAAGATCAGAGATCTAGAAAACCACCTATGAGACCCAAGGTCAATGTGCACGAGAGGCAGATGAGACGGTAGAAAAATCAGATATGAAACTGGAATAACCCAAACACAATTGTAATGGGTTGTGTCCCACAAAATGTGTGTCAGCTTGGCTGAATCATGATTCCTGGTGGCTTAGTAACCATGTAATGATGTGTTTGGGCAGTTGTGCAATAAGGTGATCGTCCCCATGAGGTGGTCCAATGTGATTGGTCACTGGTAAAGGGATTAAGGTGGACTGCAACACCCTTCATCAGGTCACAGTCCCAGGATGTAATCTTGAGGGCTGGGCGGCTGCTTCAATCCCCTTTGAGATATATAAAGAGGACTAAGCAAGTGAACGGAGAAGGGCCCTCATTACCAGCAGGAACAGCCTGGTGTGGAGCACGCCCTTGGGGCTTGGAGGTCCCTGTGTTGGGAAACCCCTTGACCCAGGGAAGGTTGATGACATAGACCTTCTCCTAGAGCCAGCAGAGGGAGCGAGCCTGTCCCTGGGTCTGGCACCCCAATCCAGGCTTCTAACCTATCGAACTGCCAGGTAATAAATGTGTGTGTGACAAGCACCCACTTCTGGCATTTGTTACAGCTTCACTATCAACTCAGACAATGCTTAACCAGGAGGACACCCTGTGGAGAATGCAAGTGGTGTCACTGAGCAGTGGAAAAGGTCAGAGGGGAACCTGACTGGCAGTGTCACCAAAAAAGTTATTCTGAAATAAGTGAGACTGTGAGGTTGAAGGATGAATACGGAATTTTACACGTGGGTGACATGTTGAGCTTCTAACAGCAAGGTTGGCAGTTCAAATCTTATCAGCCTCTCTGAAGGAGGAGGAGGCCTTCTGCTTCAGTACAAATTTACGGCCTCAGAAACCAAAAGGGGCAGTTCGGCTCTGTCCCAGACAGACTGTTGTCAAACTTGGGTTTCCCCCATTTCACAGGTGTGATTAGATTGTATGTCAACTTGATGGTTCCTGTGTGGAGGTAGGACTGGAGTCTATGCATCAGATTCATCTGATGGTGCCTCCTAGTGGGTGGTGTCTTTAGTGAAGAGATGGGTGTTTTCTCTCTTGCTCCTTACCTCCCTGCTTGCCTGGCTTCCGCATCTGGTGCCCAGGGCAGCCCCGGCGGCCTGCTGGCACTGGGAGCTGCGGCTGTCCCCTGCCATGTTCCCACCAGCCTTGGATCTAGGAGACTCTGCACCCACCAGCCGATGACCTCCCAGCTTCCTGCCTCCTGGGCCAGTCACTGTGTGATTCTAAAAGGTCCAGCTAGCATGGGACCTCTGGATGTGAGTTGGATCGGGCTGGGCTGCTTCCTTGATCTAAAGTTCTTTCTTATACAAATATGTGAATGTCACTGGGGTTTGTTTCCCTGGGAAACGGTCTAGCAGAAGAGGCAAGACAGTATGAGTAGCTTTAATTTGCAGTATGAGTAAATACTCTTATATTTAAAGGCCACTCGCCTGTTATTTTCTGTGAACAGTCTGTTCATATCTTTTTGCCCATTCTTCAAAGTTCTTCTCAAACTTTAGAAATTCTTTATAGGGTGGCAAGTTAAAAAAATGACCAGGGTTCCAGATGACACATCTCAAACTCTATCGAGTGGATTCGATGCATAGCGACCCTGTAGCACAGGATAGAACGGTCCCCTGTGGATTTCCAAGACTGAAACTTTCAAGCCCGAGGGGCTGGTGGTTGTGAACTGCTGCACCATCAGGGTTCTATGGCTCATCCAGACGTGGGTTTACTCCAGACAGAATGCTTTGAAACGTGATTGGTCGCTGGAAGGCTGCACACAAGTTCTCCCAGTGATGTACTTCTCAGTCTGCTGAGCGTGCCTTCCAAACAAAGGGTCGAGTCAAAATAGTGGCTTGCAGAGGGAGGGAGGCCAGCTCAGAACTTAGTGGAGACTCTCTGGAGAGGGATGGCCCGCGGCGTCATTTTGATTTTCTCAAAGGACACAGAATAATCACATTTGACCATTTTGGGAAAACAGAAAACTTCACTGGTGAGGAAGAGGGCCAGGAAAAGTTATACCAAGACATCACAACCATGTCCTTTGTCCTTTCTTTGAGGGTAGACTGGGCTGTCCTACAAGAATTTCACTGGGACATTTAGCTCCGATTTCGTTCCCTCAGACTACTTTGTGGTCCCCACCCACAGATCATTTACAAGGGACATGTATGAGACCCTCAAAACTGCCATACCGACAGGGTGTAATTAACACGCAGAATTCTTCAGGGAAGGGTTAGAAAAATGAAAACGCTTCACAAGTGTAGACCTAGACGATGAAGAGGTCAAGAAGCAATCGCTTTACATTTTGATGTTTTCCTTTAATGAAGTTATCTATGAGTTTAGAGCAATACTTATGTATGTAACCTCATAACATGGGTTGTGTTAGCCTTCCATGCTAACAAGTTCAACTCTATTTTTGGTCAGTTAGCTAGCATTTGGTTTGTTTTTCTTGCCATTCAAAACTCTTATTTTCATTCAGCCAAAGACAAACTTTTCTTTGTACTCTTCTGGATTTTCAGAGGATGGGAAATCTCCTTCACCTTGCATATTGTCAAGGGACACGCCTGTTCTCTTCTGCACGGAGAGGACTTTCCTCTTTACAAGGAGGTCTTTGGGTGGGGCGTGGACTGTCTTCTCTTCCACGTGGTACCTGCACCTGGCCCAAGGGCTTCTTGGGAGTCTTTCTCGCTCAAGAGTGAAGTGCTACATGGACCAGTCCCTAGGTTTCCTCTAGTCCGTTGCTGCTGTTAGCTGCCGGCGCGTTGTTACGTGTGACGGGACACTGCCTGGGTCGGTGCCACCCTCACAAGTCGCTCTTGGGGCTGGCACCCCGGATTGTGTGGGGAGAAGATCTAGGAGAGGGCTAGCCTTCCTTCTCCACAGTTCATCTTTAGGGTTGTTCTAGCCATTGTCTCTTTCCAATGACCCTGATACAGGAAAACACAACAAAAACACTTCTTGGGGGGGAACACCCCCAAACTTGGTTTTATTAGGCTCTAGTGGGTAGGTTAGGCTGTCCGACAAGAATTTCACTGAGAAACTATATTTAAATGGAATTGCAAATCAATGGAGACATTTCAAACATGTTTTCTACACAATCTGAAGTCAGTTAAAGGCAACCTTTTGACAACAGAGTCAGTTCTGGAAGAACCAGGGGCAGCCCCGGCTTGGTACTGAGTGAGGGATGTCGCAGAGACGCATGGCCTGGCACAGGTTAAGGCCAAGCCTGGAGCTCACGGCACTCCCAACACAGGCTGCCTTCAGAACCCAGACAGGCTTAACCAGCTCACTGGACCCGAGGTACGAAAATGACAGACAGTCTGCCCATACTAAGGACTCAAGAAAATATACAGCTACCTTGTTACGACTATTACAGTAAGGTTTATTCTGCAGGATAAAGTACATTGTGCATAATTTAGCAAAGGTCAAATACTGTTACAGAAAACATTTAGCACCTGCTGTATTTTGAGGTGTGGGCAGATCGCGACCTTCTCGGGCAGCTCCATCTTAACAAAATGACACTCCCGGGAGGCCCACGAAAACTTTAACTTTTAAAACGCTGTGAGACGAGTGTTCTCACATGAAAGCATTTCAGACAGTGGGAAAACCAGCTGCACTTGGCATCTGGGTCCCCCTCTCTCCTGCTCACGTCTGTGACCAGTAACTCCGTTTACAAAGTGAGCCCAATCATCCACTTCCCCCTCGGAGGTGGGACTGACCAAGGACAATGATGAGACTGGAGATGATGGCACCAAATGGCCTCCACTGCTCCCCGGCTGGAAGCCCATCAGCCCCGAGACGCGCACACGTGGAAGGCCGTGCTGTTCTCATCCAGCCTCACAAGCAAGACAAACGGTCTGGGGGAGGCTGTCGGTCCTGTATAACTTAGCTGTTCTTGCATAGGGAGGTCCTGTCGCGCGCCTTTCGGGCAGGTAACCACCTGCTACCACCCCCTTCATTCCCTTGGAACCACAGCCCCAGTTGGCTAGCCAGCAGCGCGTGATCTCTAGATTCTGCTTCTATTGGCATAACTGCCTTTCTCAAAGGCAGGCAACCTCTGAAAAGCACACGGCCAAGGTGCCTTACTGGCGACAGCCCCGCTCCGTTTCTTTGTGGAGGGTTTCCCTCAGCAGCAAGGTGGAAGTGCCGAGGGGGCGCTTGTTGTCACAAACAAGCCTCCCCCGTTTAAAGACGGCAAGCAAGTGCTGTTCTCCATCGTTGTAGTCGAATGGTTTAATCAAGTGTGATGCCTTATGGTGTCTGGGTGATCAAATGTCCAGTGTGTGGGTGATTTGATCACCGTGAACCCCTTTAAAACTGCGTGGCACTTCATCTCTGCTACACTGAGATGTAGCTAGCTGGACCAGCCACTTTTCTATTCTAGTGGTTAAAAAGATCACCCATGTTAGCACCCATCTACTGGGATGAGTCCATGTGAATGAGATAGAAGCAACAGTCTTAATACCCTCTCCGCTTGGAAGGTGCCTCTGCTTGTTGCACCTTGGCTCAGGGACGTGAAGAACATCAATGGGGGAAAGGACAGACGGTCGTCACATTCCTACCATCAGGAGGAGAGCTGTGCCACACACAGATGGCTCTGGAGAGTCAGGTTGCTCCAGATCGCCTGTCAGGATGAACACATGGGAAAGTGGTACGGAACTGGAGAAACCAGAAAGAAGCCGTGCCCAAACCTGCCTTGTCACTACGTTCCCAATGTGCCGTCTGAGACAGCTGACAACTGTTTACATTAAAGCCCATAGGGTTTGGGCTAACCGAGCGTTCTTCAACATGGCAGACACATGCCAAGAGAATCAAGTTCGGCTTTACAGCAGACAACGGAATTGACGGAGACATCATTTCTGTCCATCGGCACGGCAGCCTGCAACCAAAGATGTACCCAAGGCACCCCACACAGCAGTTACACCGGAACCCATGTCTCAGTACACACATCACCGTATTTAAGCTCCTCAGAGGGACAAGTCACCATTTATTTACAGCTACAAAGGATTGGAGACTCCCCTCTGTTTGGTAAGTAAATTTCCATTTTACGTGGAGGAAAGGAAAGCCATGTTTCTGGAAGGCACTATCTGGTGTAAATGTGCAAGTTACCGCAGAGGGAAAACATGCGCGG